TAGCTGTAAATAGACTAGAGGAGACTTGAGGTAAGCCCTAATGGGGAGGGGGCTGGTCTGAAATCAGTCGTTACTTCAAACCCTCCCTGCTCCCATTCTCTCCTTGCATTATGCATTTACAGCTTTCTACTTTCCAGCATTTCTTTATCTACGGATCAGATGGAGCCGATGTAGCATAAGCAAGCAGTATGCATAGTGGTTGAAAGCTGTGTTTTGGTTCTTGAATGAGATCTTGGAAAGAGGCGTCTCTGGATTAGGGGTAAATCTTGCATTTTCAGGTTTTCTAGATAACCATTTATTGGCATGTTGGTTTTAAAAAATGGCTAGAAAAATTGTTTGACTTTCCTTCCATCAAGAGGCAGGGTCTTTCTTGCCTCCTGTTGGATCTGAGTCGGCGAAACTGCTACAACCAATATAGAGGAAGTGCCGCTCTGTGACTTCTGAAACGAGCTCATAGAAGGGGGTGGAGCTTCCACCTTGTGCACTGGAATGCCCGCACTGGAGCTCTGATCTGTGTTGTAAGAAATCTGACTACTCTACTGGAGAGGGCATGGGTAGATGCTCAAGGCGACAGTCACAACTGAACTCTGAGCCGACAGCCAGCATCAGCTGCCAGTCATGTGAGCAAGCCATTTGGATGGCCAGCCGCACTGAACACATGACAGCAGCCCAAGCCAACATCGACTGCAACCACACAAGACACCCCAGGTGAGAAGTGTCCAACAGAGCCTTTTCCAGGTTTCTGATTTCCAAATTCATGAGCAAAATAAAGTGGTTGTAGGTTCACACAACTGAGTTCTTGGGCAAATTGTTGTAGTAACAGTGATAGAAATCAGACAGTTATGGTCTGTGGGTTGTTATGATGGCAGATCGAATGGAAGGCGGGTCAAAGGGGACAGCCTGTATCAGGTATTCCTGAAATGGCAGTCAGTCCAAACCTCTTGCAGGAGTTTGCAGAGTTTGACTCACTAAGTCTTAGGTGGGCCCAAGAATCTCCATATTTTTAAAATTATCTCTGATAAAAAATTTTGAAGTATTTTTATCACAATAGTGATAGATGCACCATACAAAAGGAGATAAATCCCCCCTCCTTAGGATTCCCTCCTCATCATTTTTCCCATTTTCCTACCTATTTCTGCATATTTATTTCTCTAGGTGAAATCAGGATCATGTTGCCATGTTCCTCCCAAATCCTGTTGGTGTTTTGATTTAGATCACATTAAATGTATAGGTTAATTTATGGAGAAATAATATCTTTTCAATATTGAGTCTTTTTTTATCCAAGAACACAGGATGTCCTTCTGCCTTTGTCAAGTGCTCTCGTTACGTCCCATGCTTCTGGTTTACGATTTGGGGAATTTGTACCAATGGAATCTGAAACAAGCAATCCACAGATCAGCATTGGGTAACCACTGATTTGTAGCATCTTCAACTGTTTATTTCTTCAATCTGGCCTTGAAACACAATGCTTATTTCCATGATTCCAGGAGAATGTGAGGTCAGTAAAGTTTCCTAGGATTCTGTGAACTGGGCTGGACCCCCTTGTTATGGATGGGCAGGGGTGTTCCAGCGGTGGTCACTCCTCATACACTCTTCTGTTACAGCCCTAATCACCCGTGCTTAGGCTGTTTCGGCCAGCCCGCTCCCACTAAGCAGCCATCCTGATTGCTCCATCCTGTGCTTGGCACAAAGCAGACTTTCAGATGAAGGACACTCCCTGTCTCTTACCACTCGGTTCTTCCTGCCAGTCTCTCTGCCTAGAGAAACCAGGTTCTTAGGGCTTCCTATTAGCCTTCTCCTGTCACTGACCTTGAGTGGCGTCCAGGGAGCCCATGCTCACTGATTTGGGGGCCAGTCTCCACTACAGACATTACTAAACAAGCAAGATGGTCAAATGACCCAGATCTTCTCTCTCCCCCTTCCAAGTCACTGTAGCAGCACAGTTTTCAAGGAAAAGATGAACCAAGCCAGAGGTGGTTGGAAATGTATTTATTTTTCTTCAAATGATCTTTTTCAAGCAATAAATAAAAACAGACATGTTGACTTTTCTAAAAAAACAAAACCAAACAAAAAAATTCCCTAAACTATATACATCCTACGGAAATACAAGCATATCAAATGTAGAAATGACATCACTCTGAAAGATGGGGCTATTTACAGAAGTTACAAGTATTGCATTGCTCTGTCTTGAAGAAGCCTCTTCCTCGTGTGACTCATAAACTCTGAGGAAGGGCAGGGTGCTCCTGGGGGGAGGGATATCTTCAAAGAGGAAAAACATCAACATCCAGACACTGTATTCAGTTTCCCAACAATGCTGCACAGATCAGCTGACTTGCAAGGGGCATGAAAGGGTGCCCTGTTCAGGAGGTCACATGCTCCTTGAGCTCCTGAGAGAAACCATCTTGTCCCTCAGCCAGGCTGGGACTGGCAGTGAGACTATGCTGAGCCAGTGACAAACTCGGGCTGTGGTTTCTGTGAGACAAGTCAACTCTGTGTTATGAAGACCCAGCCTCCAACAGCACCTTGCCATCCAGAAAGCAGTTCCCCAAATTGGTTACACATGGACAGCACTTGGGCGCTCTGAAACATACTGATGCCTGTGTCCCTTCTCCAGAAATGCTGGTTTAATTGGTCTGGGATAGCCTAGGAGCAAGGTTTTGAAAGCTCCCCAGTTGATGCTAATGGGCAGCCAAGGTGAACCACTGCCTTAAAACTACCGGCTTAGAGGCCAGTCTAACAGCCCCTTCCCCTCACACCTGAATCAACCATCCTACCTCCCTCTGGCCGCCTTCCCAAGGATTTTAAATGTTTCCTCATGGCTTCCCAACTTCGTTGAAAAGTCTGGAATCCAGCTGGAATGAGCACCTGAGGAAAACGGCATCAGGAAGGGAAAGACCGCAGCTGGGAGCTCCCGGCCACCTGCTCATGAGCAGCTTCAGCCTACTACTGCTCCGTGGGAGAGGAGGCCCATTTCCCTGAGGGCTCCACCAGCACCCTTGGGTCACACAAGATTCCAGGAGGGAACTGGCAGCACTCCCCAGTCTCTATAGAAAGATCCAGTGAGTCTACAGCCTTTTGTAGACAACAGCACAGTTGATAATCAGTGCAAGCGGCAATGCTTTTTGGCCATTACAGAAATTTCACGTCACCAGAAATCATTCCATGGGAGGGATTTCTGTTGAAACCCACTGGACTGACCCTGCCATGGTGTCTTCCTTAGAACACTTCTAAGTCATTCAAGAGGCTTCTGATGGGAGAATAACGACCCCAAATCCCCTTTTCCAATCAAGCCAATTTCCTATTTAATTTCTAAGAGTTTGGGGACTCATGCTGTTATCAAGTACAAAGAAAATGGCTTTATAAATAGCAGTCTGACATTGTGGTGAAGACTTGACTTGGAAAGCAGGGGAAAGGCATGTCTGGGGCTGGTCCTGAGCTCCGACTGTCCGTGTGGTTGGAATCCAGTCTGGGAAAGCAGGATACGCAGGTTTTGGCAAGTGTAGACTCATTCTATAAAAAGTGAATCTGTTCCAGGCTTCTTGCCCTCCCCTCTCTGCTGCTGGAACCCATCACTCTTTCAGCTGCAGAACCCACTTGACTGCATTCATCACAAAACAAGAAGCGACTTCCAGGAGGCACGGAAAAAATGGGAACGTCCAACCGTGCCGTCTCTAAATAGGACCATTGTCCAGGAACCCCAACCCCTCCATGGCTTACCCCTCACTATTCAGCCAAGCAGCTCCTGGGGAAGGAGGGAGCCCCAGGCTTTTCTCAAAACAGGAAGCGGGAACTTGGGCCTCACCCAGAGACGGGCTTGACAAAAGGCAAGACAAATGATGCCAACACAGGTTTATGTTTCTGGAAGGAAATGTAACCAACCTGGTCCTGTCTGGGATGCCAGGGTGAGAAAGAGCATTCCAACACTATTCTGACATTGAGGCTTGAAGTTATTTACGGGTGAGCAAGAATGTTCATTTAGATGTAGATTCTCAAAGGGCTAAAAGAAACATGCTCTCGTTTCTAGACAAGTTTGCAATTACCTCTAATCTGGCACTCTGTGACAACACTGTTCCACGACACTACAAATGAAACGACATGGAGCTTGTTCCCTCCTCCCTCCCCCCAAGTCCAAACCACAGAAAACATCCTTCTTCCTCCAAAAGCCATTCCTCCATTTGGAAAGGTCCCTTAAGATGGCATTATCCCATGGAAGGATTTCACAGTGGCACCCAAGTGCCCTGCATGCCCGTCATGGAAGCCCAGCAGCCAGCTCCCAAGCAGAGTCTGCCCGACTCCTCACTCACGCTCTTCTGCCATTCTAGCCCTCAGCGAGACCTGAAATGTGGTGTCCACGCCCCTCTTTTTATTCAAAAGAGGGCCTTTAAAAATATTCACCTAAACTAGGAATTTGAAGAACACAAGAATTTCTTGGTATAGAGTAAACCCCCTACAATTAAAAACTCCAATCTATGCAAAAAGAGATGGTGCTTCCACTTAGAAAAGGATCCATTTCCGACCTGTCTCTAGTTAGCTGGTTTTCCCAATGGCCTTGCCAGATGATTTGCTGTGGGAAAATCTGAATTGCACCCAATTTTTCAGGAGCACCATATATGGTATAGCATTTATCACAGATGGTATACAAGTCCTCAGGCAGGCCTGTAAGCAAATGCTCCCACCGCCAAACTGAGTTACCGATCATCAGAGAGAGAAGGTGGTATTGTGGTTTACGGCATCAGTGGTCTATGTGCCCAGAAACCAGCTTCAAAAGCAACTAAAATGTCATCCTTTCCTTTCTTCCTCCTCCCACCCGCCCTGGCCTGCTTCTCAGTGGCACCCAGTGCAAGCTGATCGTCATGCTAACTGGTCCACATGGAGGAGACACCACTGACTCCCTCAGTGCTTTGAGGCTCGCAGGCTCTTGTGCTCGGCTGATGGACATCAACATAAATACATCCTAAATCCACTGTCACTAGACTCCTTGTACTTACATACTCCAAGGAAACTCTTAATAAATACTTTTATTTATTATTAAGCATAATTATTCACCTGTGGGTGACTCAGAAAGGAAAATCATGTCCTCAAAGATTTCTTTAAAAAAAAAAATTCCTCTAACTAGGAAAACAAAAAGGGACCAAGCACAGAGAACCAGGCACTTCCGGCAGACCTGTTTTCTTCCGGTTCCTTTCCCTCCCGCCCGCCCTCTCCCCGTAAATCAAACTGGGTGCGCACGTTTGCCAGGATCTGTGGGTTTCATAACTTCAAGCCTTACTGCTTCAAAAAATGAGGTAACAAATTCCTATCTGAAAAGTAAAACTGACACATAAACCAAACCAAGGGCTCCCCTGCCTGCTGAGGCAGCCATTATTGCTGTAAGTTGGAGTGTTTTGTTTGTTTGCTTTTTATATGTATTCAGTCCTTATTGCCATTCTAGCTGGCCCCATGGTTGGCCAAGGAGAAATGGATGGGAAGGAGCTTGGTCGCCTGCCCCCAGCAAGTCCCGACTTGCTGCCCACACATGGCCCACCTAACCCTTGCCAGAAGCCGACTGGTTTTGGGGTTCCCAGAGTGGCTCTAACAGCTGGGGGAGGTGGTGATGGGGCTGTGCAGGTAGGGCAGGCTGCTGGGGGCCGAGTGCACACCCACGGAGACTGGGAAGCTGAAGACAAACTTCGAGGTGGGGGTGGGGGTGGCCTTGCCCCGCTCCCGCAAGGGCCCGGAAGGGCTGGCGGCCTCCACGGCACAGGACGTGGCCAGCACCTGCGACTCGAACTGCAGCAGCTGCCCCATGAAGCTGAAGTTGGGCGAGATGATGCTCCGCCGCTGCTTGACGAACTCAAACGCCTCCTCCAGCCTCACCCGCTTCTTCATCATCAGGTAGGCCAGGCAGATGGTGGCCGAGCGCGAGATGCCCGCCTGGCAGTGCACCAGCACCCGCCCGCGGCAGTCCGTCACCGCATCTGGGGCAGAGAGACGCGATTAGTGCCCTCGGCGGTCCTGCGCCTTCACCTAACGGCAGGTGCAGGGGGCCTGAGCCAGAACGCGGGGTGCGGGAGGATTTGAGAAGCATGGAGGATGGGACACTCCCACTGAGGGAAGAAGCGTTCTCGGCTGAAAGGGGAGGGAAGAAACCCACGTGGGAGGGACTAAAATATCCTAGCATTCCACCCCTTCTGGGATATTTTTGAGACTTAACTGAAGAAATGCACTCCACTTAGGAAAAACTTGTGCTAAAGCCAGTTAAACCCCAACACACAGTCAAGGATTTCCATTTGCAGAAACAAAACCAACGACCCATTTCTCCCTTTCTTTGTCTTCCTCCTTATCCCCAAAGCCTTATGGGTCTAGAGACCTGAAGACACGGAAGGAAAGGTTATTGGCTCTGTAAGCCAACAGTACTGGCAGACGTGGGAGTTTGTCTTCCTATCCCCACCCAACGCAACATCCAGTGGGCAGGCCTTCCTGTGGAGGAGGATGCAAACTGGGTACACCCTGGATACAGCATCTCCTAAATCCCTCCTTCAACACATGAGTTACAACTGGTTCCCTCTCATCCTCCCCACCCGACCTGGGCCCCGGGACCCCAGCCAGGGCCAGCCTACCGATATACTCGATGGCTTCCATGAACCAGGAGCTGATGTCAGCCTTGTGGTTGTCTTCCACCGGGATGCACTTGTACTGATAGTGTCCTTCAAAGTGGTTGGGGCAGTCGGAGGAGACGTTCAACAGGGCCGTGATCCCCAGGGCGTCCAGCATGTCTCTCCGGGCTGCATGGTAGGCACTGCCGAGGTAGAGGAAGGGAAGGATCTCCACAGGACCCCCCTGCACCAGAAAGGGAAAACAAGGGCCCCCAGGCATCATGAGTGTGGGCAGCTAGGAAAAGGGCCAGTGGGGGGCTTGGGCCGGGGGGAGGGAAGCCAGCCTGAGGTGGGCTTGCACAGACCCTGGGGAGAATGCCTGTGGACACAGCCTTCCAGGTCTCCCCTCATCCACAGGGGCTCCTGGAGGGAACAAGGGGCTCAGTGGGACGTCTCCAGCCTTTACACTCCACTCTGCTGTGGGCAGAGAAGCCAGGACAGGGAAAGTTTTGGGGGCCCCTCCCATTGGCTCCAGCAGCCTACCTCCCCTGTGATGAATGGAGGGGCAGACACGAGGCTGGCTTGCCACACTGTGACATTCAGAGCTTGCACCTGCTAATCATCAAGCTATGTGTTTTGTGGTTTAGGGACTTATGGTTGGGTAAGCCTTCTCTTGGCACGTCAAAAGCAGACACCAGGGGCCGGCTCCGTGGCCGAGTGGTTAAGTTCGTGCGCTCTGCTGCGGTGGCCCAGGGTTCGGATCCTGGACACGGACATGGCACCGCTCATCAGGCCACGTTGAGGCGGCGTCCCACATCCCACAACTAGAAGGACCTGCAACTAAGATATACAACTGTGTACAGGGGTTGGGGAGATAAAGCAGAAAAAAAAAAAAAAAAAACAAAGATTGGCAACGGTTCTTAGCCCAGGTGCCAATCCTTAAAAAAAAAAAACAAAGGAAGATTGGCAACAGTTGTTACCCCAGGTGCCAATCTTTAAAAAAAAAAAAAGTTAAAACATGAACCTACGCCAGACTCAATTAAAAAAAAAAAAAAGCAGACACCATGTCAGCCTCACAGACAAGAGGAGGGACCTTGGTAAAATGAAGTAATGTTGGCTTAAATTAATGACAGTTTTCTGAGTCAGGGCCACGCGAGTGATCTGGGATTTGGGGAGCAGAATTGCTGGACCCCATAAATTCACTCTCTCTCCATCTAAATGAAAGGGCTGGAAGGGGTGGGTTTGTAAGAAGTGTGGTAGCTTGAGTTGATTTTCTTAGGGGAGGGTTGGCTGACCATTTATGTCCATTTGGTGTTTACAGTTGGGTCGTACATGAGGGACAAGCGGACTGTTGTAGATCAGGGCTGGGGGTCCACAGGCCACTCCTTCAAAGGAGGGTGTCTCTCAGCTTCCTACATGGCGGGTCACACCCTTCCCACTCCAGCCGGCCTCCTCGCTTGTCTGCACATAACTCTAGTGGCTACTCAGCGAGTTATGTCTTTATATATTTTTTGAAAGCAAGGGTACTAAGAGAGGGAAGGGGAAGAATTCCAAGGAACAAATGGAATTTATTCCTAACCCACCTAACATCCCACCCCATACTCGCGGTTCACCACGTTCTCCCCAAGTTGAGGTACTGCGTCCAAAGCCCGTGAAAAGCAGAGCTCTGAACAGAAGCCCCTCCCAACCTGGTCGTGCAGGGGGGTTCCACAGGAGCCGCAGCCCAGGTCCAAGGACTCGGGGGCGCTTGGGGACACAGCAGGTGGGATGGCTGCCAGGGACTTGGTTTTGGAACAGAATTCCGGGTATTCGGAGGAAAACCTCTCATAGCCACCTGTAAAGGAGAAAGAAGCAGGTTAGGGGCATCACTAAGCCAGCAGGAAACCGGGAAGCGCTTGAATCCTACCCAGGACTGAGAGCAGTTGGGAAGCTGGGGCTGGCTGGATCCACATTTGCCACTGGGTGGCGCTGTGGACCCAGAGATACAGGCTATGGAGTATTTTTCAGAGATGCAGAACCCACATTTGGTCGCGGCTAAATCCTGAAGACTGGCAGTAAAGCTTTTTGGACGAGACTTTGGTATGGGATGCAGATACACAAAGCAAGCTGTGCAAGGGGTATGCAGAAGGGACTTTTTGCAGAGGAGCTCCGTAGGGTGATGACAAAGCATGAAAGAGGGAATGGCCACTGTGGGTTTTCATGAGTGCTTGGGCAGCCTGCAGCTGGGCCCTGGGACCTGCAAAGCTGTCATCCCCCAACTTCAGTGCTTCCTCTGAAGAGGTCCTCCAATGTGGGAGAGAAGGAAAAAAATACCCTGGCACCAGCCCTTCTGGATCTCAGCAACAGAACAGATGCCAATCGCGAGGCCTCGTGAACAGCTGTTCCATCAACAAGGAGCCAAAACAAGAGGAAACAGGCTTAAATCTAAATAAATCCCTCTTGCTACATACAGGTTTGGGGCAAAGGAGGATTTCCTGACCTGAGAGTTGCTAAGCCCTGGAATGGTTATCTATGGGATTATCTTCCGGGGAAACGAGTCTTTTACGTAAAAAAAGATAAATGGCCAACTTATGGGGAATAGTGTTAGTGCGAGCAGGGAAGTGCCAGCTGGGCGGGGATGGGCAGAGAAACACCGAGAGAAGAGACAAGAGGACAAGGCGCTCAGCCTGCATCTCTGATTTTCTTGCGGTCTCTGGGCCCTTGCTCTGTGGGTCACTTACCATCTACTGTCAGTATTTGGCCCTGCTTGCATTTTTACTTTTGCAGTTTCTGTAGGACCCAAGATGGATTATAAATTAATTCAGCAGATGAAGAGGGTCAAAAGGTACAAAATTCCAGTTATAAAACAAGTCAGTCCTGGAGACGTAATTACAGCAGGGTGACTATAGTTTATAATACTGTATCGCATATTTGAAAGCTGCTAAGAGAGTAGATCCTAAAAATTCTAATCACAAGAAAAAAAAAACTTTTAACCATGTATGGTGACAGATGTTAACTAGACTTTTATTGTGGTGATCATTTTGCAATATAGACAAATATTGAATCATTACATTATACACCTGAAACTAACATAATGTTATATGTCAATTATACACCCCCCCCAAAAAACCCGCAAACTTACGTAAAAATAAATTAATTCAGTAGGGCCTGCAACCACTGAATTCATTAGTGGAACAATCACGCTAATGGACCCATTCAACTGACAGTCATGTATGTAGCTGGACCTTTAAATCCTTACAACAGAGCGCTATGGTGCCACTGTTCCCTGTAATGGTTCAGGGTGATCTTCCAACATGCAGCCATGTGATGGTTAGTCAATTACTTGCCCTGAATCCCAGCCCTAGAAACAACGGCCTTGGAGAGGAAGGCAAGTGATTCTTTGCCACATCATAAGGCTTACAGAAACAGGGCAGACATTTTTTCCTCTCTGACCGGAGGCTTCTCGATTCCCCTCCACTCCCTCCCTCAGGATATAAACGGATCTCTCTCTGGTCACAGGCCCCCGCTCCTGCTGAGTCATAATGACCAGCCTCCCTGGATGGAAAACCTGCTGCAGGGGCCACCACTGCCAGTTTCAGACGTTCCGGTGCTCTTAGAGGTCCTCTCATCGCAGGGGCACCCCTCCCTGCCATTATCACCCCGTCACCCCCCTTATAAAGCTGCAAACACTGCTGCCCCAAATGCAGTGGACAGAGCAGGGCAGAAGAAGAGCCAGCAAACGTCTTGAGCTGAAGTCCCTGCCATGGGCCTCTGGGCCAAGAAACTTCAGCAAATGCTCCCCTTTGGAGAAAGTGGGAGGGGAAATGGATGGATCAACAAGCCATCACTGAACGCCTACATAAAAATCCACCACTTTTTACTCCAGATAGCTCTATAGGATTTGGAATCTTTTTAATAAAATGATCCTTGTGTTAATTTGAGCTATCAAAACACACTTTTTTCAAAGAAATGTAAGGCATGAGTGGTGCCCCCCAAAGCTTATCACCTAGACAGGCAGAGAAGCGCGACCCCCCGCCCCCCCGAAAGTGGGTGGTGGAGGCACAGGAAGCCAGGGCCAGGTCCAAGGTCACCGAGGAGAAGCACCTCTGAGGGCAGGAAGGGGAGGAGCCTCACGGTGGTTGAGAGAATGCTCTTCCCATCGCTGAGCACACAGCCTTTGCAGTGAGACTCAGAGGTCTGAGCTGAATCCCAACCACCCGGTGAATCATCAGCTGTGCAGCCTGGGGCTGTCACTGAACCTCTCTGAGCCTCCTCCTCATCTGTAAAATGTGATGAAACAACCACATGCGGCATCCTTCAAGGACTGACTGGGACAGCCAGCACTCTGCGCCTGGCCTCGGGGAGACTCATAATGAAGGTCTCCTTTTATGGCACCTACAAGGGGACTCCAGCATTACTGCCAACTTCCAAGACTTTGGACAGCTTCCTCCTCTAGAGCTTTACTTATTTTTTTCCAGTCGGAATCTTGAGACCTAGTAGTTAGACAGCGGAAGTGTGGGTACGGCGCTTCCTGAGCTCAGCGTCCTTCCCAGCCAGGGACATCCGCTAGCTCCCCATCGATCATCAACCAATCCCGTGGAGGGATCCCCAGCTGACCCTTGAGGGTGTGGCAGATGGGGGCGCAAGTGGCCCAGCGGGCAGGACAGAGGTGACCCAGAGGCCAGACCAGGCCTGAGGGAGATCATTTGTCATCTCCCTCCAGGCTGCTCCTAACAGGACAGGGAGACAGCAACGGTTGGGAAAGCCACCATTAGAACGGAGCAGGAAAAGGATTACTGAAAGGTCACTTCCCTCCGGCGATCTGAAAGGATCTGAAGAAGCAGATTAGCCCAAGGAACGGGAGAGCACTGGAGGGTGGCATCCCTGACGGGGGGCAGCAATGAAGGGGGTTCTCTCTCCTGAGCTCCCGCTAGCTTTTGAGGTTCTGTGGCTGGTTGTTACAAGGAGCATCCCCAAAGGAGCTCCTCTGGCGGGGGCCAGGGCCGGGGAGGAGCAGACTCTGCGATGCTGGAGCAGGGGCATGCAGGCGAGGCGGCGCAGATGGAAGGGGACAAGTCAGGAACCACGCCAGTCCACACCCCACGAGGCCACCCCCCAGGAAGTCATCTCTGGGTATCAGATCCATGTGAATAAAAATGACAGCCCACTAGGTACCAGGCTCGTTCCATCCACATGTCCAACCAGCAGCCCTTGAGAAAGGCCTGACTAGCCCCAATTTTACAGAAAAGGGAACTGAGGTGCAGGGCAGCCCCCAGGAGCAGGACCGGCATTCAGCCCACTGGCCTCAAAGCTGACTTTTTTTTTAAAGATTGGCCCTGAGCTAACATCTGTTGCCAGTCTTCTTTTTTTTCTCTTCTTCTCCCCAAAGCTCCCTAGTACATAGTTGTATATTTGTAGGTCCTTATAGCTCTGCTATACAGGACACTGCCTCAGCATGGCCTGATGAGCGGTGCTAGGCCTGCACCCAGGATCCGAACAGGCGAAACCCTGGGCTGTGAAAGCGGAGCATGTGAACTCAACCACCTGGCCTCGGGGCAGGCCCCATCAAAGCCACTTCTAATGTGGCCATCAGGAGCCCACCCAGCTGCTTGCCCATCTCTGCCTTCCTGGTGGTCCCTCTCTAAGGGGTCTCAGCCTGCTGGTTTCATCACATGAAGACACAGACCCTTCATGCAGAAACAGAAATGAGCTGAAGAGGGCACTGCTGACATTTCACCAAACGCAGCTTCTTTCCAGTGCTCTCTTAACTACAGGTTCTCAAGAGGGAGTCATGACCAGCATTTTTTATTTAATGAAATAGGATAGAAACTACTAGAATGCATCGCACTAAAAAGGATATAATTTCATGGACCTCTGGTTTCAGGTGTGTCTGTATCCCTATACTGGGTCATGATGGAGAGCAGCAGGAGCCAGATTTAGATCACCAAGTGTTAGCCAAAACTCATGAGAGGGAAGGCTTATTCCCGCTGTACACACAGGCTCCTGCAGGTGCCACGTGGGTCGAACTCCCAGCCTGCGCCGTGGGGGGCTTGAGCAAGCACATTCCCTCCTGAACGGTTTTACCACCCTCAGAATATAAGAATTTCAGACTATCATCTCTAAGTTCCAATATTCTGTGATCCTAAATGTCCATGATCTACTTATTTGCAAACTACACACTGACAGCCGGTACCCAATTCTGCATTTCCGTCTTCTGAATACAATTTCCTAACAGACATACCAATGAATTCCACCCGGTTTTCCTACATCCTGTTGAACGTAATTCCGTAACAGATATCTAATTTTGACCTGTTTTTCCCATGTTTCTTATTTAATAATAGACTTTCTAGTCTTAAAACTCCCATTTTCTCATCTGAATTTGAAAACTTGAAGTCTAGGGGGAAAGAAAGAAATGTAATTTTTCACCCAACTTTCTTGAGGAGTGCCACATCTACAGTCCGACTCCCTGCTCTTTTCTCTTTCTCACACCCACTCGCACAGCAAGGCAGTTTTCAAAGTTTACTGCAAAGGATGACCCGCTGGCCACGAGTCCTTCCACCCACCTCCCGTCCAAGCAGGGGTAGGAGAGTATGTGTGTGAAATGGCTCTCGAAAGGCTTTCTGATCGGACCACCATAATAGGACTCTTAATGGGGTCTGTGATGGGGAAGACTGTCTTTTGGTGGTGATTATGGTCATGGATCTTAATATGGCTGCTGCTTTTTTCCCATGACTCTCAACACTCAGAATATCATCAGTTCACAGACAGGCTTATGGCCTTGATCTCCAGGGACCTCTTATCAATACAACGCAAACACTGACCAGCAAGAAAGTGTGCGGTCATTTGAAGGTCATTTGCCTGAGAACTTCCCTTGATGTGGGTGTTCACTCAGTAAGTGCCTGTGGGAATGCTGAGCTGTATTTAAAGTTTACCTGTGGGGGCTTCTTGCCTTGGGCCTCCACGCACAGACCTCCTGCAGGGCTGGGCCAGCTGGCTGACACCTAAGGCCACCCTGAGCTGGATCTTGTTTGCAGTCCCTCCGGTCCCTCTGTACTATCTGCTGCCTTCAGCAAGCTGGCTTCCGTTTGAGAGTGAACTTTTCTTCCTGCCAAACTTCCTCTTCGGTAGGTGGAAACTGCCTCCCAGTAAGGAAACCGGCTATCTGGTTTCAGATGTTCTCATTTTTTCATGGAATTTCTTGGCTCATTAAAAAGGCTCCTTAAAAACTCCCTCTCTCAGTTCTGTGCAGCCCATCGTGGTGGGGACAGCCCACCTCTCCTATAAGCATCGAGGACAGGCCCAAGGGAGCTGTGATGGGCTTAATGACGATCAGGTTCTCACTCAATTTACATGCAGAGAAGCATCCAGTCCAAATGAGGCAAAAATGAGTGAGTTTGCTTCATTCGTTGTAATTCTTTAGTGAATTACAATAGGGGTTAGAAATTACCTTTGAGGCCTACTATTTTTTATAATTCTGACACTCCCAATCTTTGGCTGTCATGGGCATTGTGTCATATCTGCCAGAAGAAAAGCCAGTCCTTTTCCCTCTGAGAGGAAGATGCGAGCACTGTCAGCTCCCCACCCCCACCCCTGGACGATGCTGCTCGATGCCACTGACCTTCTGGGGGACTGGGATGTGCTGGGCAAATGGGGATAGAGAGAAAAGACAGATGAGAGTCAGAGTCGTCGCCAGGGCTGCCAGTCGAGCCCCACCCTCCCATCCACACCCTTCATCACTGGCCTTGGTGGCCGTTTTCTGCAGAAAGTGTAATGTCAGAAGCAGTCCGGTCAGGCCTGGGGACTACGGGGTACGTGAGGCCCGACCTGGAGGGAGAAGCTGGACTATCTCGTTGATCCTCCCAATTTCTCAAAAGAGCTCCAGGACCGCTTTTAAACCAGAACTTGAATAAGGACTGACAAAGGTCATGAGCTGAGATGAATTTCAGACAGGAGGAAAGATAAGGTTTTTATTCCTGAAATCGTCTATGTAACAAACTGATTTGTTATTTGGGGAATATGGGAGGTAAAGAATGACTTCTATTAAGGTTAGAAAATGCTCTTTTGGTCTTTCTTTAATGACCAGGGGGGTCTGAAAGCCTACTCCAAGGGTTTATGAAGGAGAGAGAAAAGCATTTCAAAGGAGATGTGTACTGTGCTGTAATGAAATTTGGAAAGCTGAAATTTCTAAACTGTCACTAAAAATGCCTTACAGGATTTTTAAATAAAATGAGCTGGAGGAGAAAAAAAAAGATTTACCCCAATGGAAATCTTTTCCTAGCAAAAAGACCAGAAAATGTAGTGATTTGGGTTACTGCTTTTAGCAAAACTTGGGTAATATGAGGAAATGTAAAGGCTGGGCAGCATTTGATTGATATTAAGTTTCCTCTTAACTATGAATTCTTGCCTGTGGCGTTAGTCATTAACTACCTGCAGTGAGTAACCAACTGCCCAAGTGACAGAAATAGAAAAATCAGATTTTTAAACAGAATTAGTTGGTAGAATTAGAAAGCCCATGGCCAGGAAGGATAACAGAACCTCTGAAACATTCTTCTGTTCTTACTGTCCCCCCAGGACTGCGGACACCCAACAATTCGTCTTCCACTGGCTTCACTCTGACCACTTTTACTCCACACCCGCCATCACTCATCAAATGAGACACACAGGCCCATTAGCTGCAAAATAAAACGAACAACTCAGGTGGGAACCAAATTACCCAACCCCTAATCCATTCAGGCATTTACTAAAGATAATCTAAGGGCTTTCGTCCGCGTTTCCCTTTAGTTCCTGCCCCCAGGCCCCCTCCCATGAACCCACCTTTCTTCCCTTCCACCGGCTTCTCCTCCAAGGCACCGAGGAGGCCTGGCTTTCCTCCCGGGCCCTTCCCGCGCCGGCGCGGGAGCAGACGCTGCCCTGTTTCTGCTTGCCCACACTAGGGACGGCTCCTCCTTAGAGGGCAGAGACCAGGAGCAGGAATTTTGTCAAGACTGCCTCTGCTTAGCCCAAATAGGAAAATAACCTACCACCTCTACAGAACAAGCTGGAAGACCCCCGCCCCCCACTTCTGTGAATTTTAGGCGACTGCTACCAAAGGCAGCCTCCCTTTGCTTATCAAGACCCAGCTCGACCTCTCCTGGCTACTCCCGGGGCCTGGTCCTGAGAAGACCGAAGGGCGACCTGCCGCCCAGGCGACATCTCAGAGGGTAGCGACTTTGAGACGCAGAGGGTCGCCCTCCCTCGGCGCCAGGTCAGACAACAGGAGGCAGTGCAGGCCTCGAGAAGAAACAGCCCTGAGAACGAACACTCCTTTTCCGTTGGCCGGGCACCTCGCCAACCGCCAGGGGACTGTCATTTTCCCCGGAGCTAGTCTCCCAGTCTGTAAGGTAGCATTTGCCTCGCGCCAGCGGCTCATCCGCGGAGCGACTCTCGGAAACGATCGGGCTCCGGGCTCTCCCGGTGGCTTTCGGGGGGACCAGGGAGGTGCCACGAGCCGGAGTAGGAAAACCTTCCAAATATGCCTCCCTCTCCGGGAGCGGGGTCGAAGTGTCCGCTCGCCCCGGAGCCCAAGGGCCAAGGTCCCCGAGCTGCCGCTCTAGGGCAGTCCCCTCCAGATTTCTTCCCGGAAGAAAAATAAAATAAAACGAAGCCAGACTCCACGTGGGTCGGCCCTACCCCGAGAAGGGTCCTGCGTTCAGAGGCCCCCGAAGGAAGGCGCGCGCGCGGGCTGAATCCGAAGGGACTCGAAGGCAGCGCGGCACGGGGAACATCCCAGCCAGCCCCAGCCACTCAAAGGGACTTTCGTCCCAGAGAAATTTCTCTCATCGTTCCCACGAGCGCCAGCACCCGGCAGGGGAGGGCAGGCGTGCTCAACAGCCTGGCCCCCCACCCTGGCGTCTGACAGTAGTGGCCACGGGAGTCCGCTGGCCGTACGCCCGCGGGGGGCCCCCGGGCTCAGCGCGCCGCCCAGGGCAGGCGAGGCCGGCCGTCCCCAGCGCCCAGCTCCCCCGCTGAGCGGCCGGTCTTTCCGGGGCAAGCCCCTTCCTGGCACTTTCTCTTAAAGCGCTTTGGGGAGAAGGGAGGAGGTCTGGGCTCAATCGGAGGTGCAAAACGCAGCCCCTCCCAGAGAAAGAAAAATCAGCAAAATCGCCTTAGTGGTTCAACCAAAGGTCAACAGCAGCATTTCCCCAGCAGCTGACAGGTCAAATGGCCAGGAAACAACTGCCGAGAACAAAGCCCCCCGCTGTTCACCAGGGGCAAACCCGGCTCGTCGGCACTGAGCAGTTTTGTTGTGCTTTTTGGATGGGGCGATGGGGAGAGGTTTCCGCCCCTCCTCCCTCCACCATCTCCCTTCCTCTCGGCTGAGCGGGTCCGGAGAGGAAAGAAAAGGAGGGAGGGGGCGCGGGGCGCCTGGGGGGAAAGGAGCGGCTCTTTGATGGCCCGGGTCTGAAACGCCTCTCGGCTTCTGAGGCTAGGACCGTCTAGGGCGCAAGAATGCGAGGAATGCGGCGGCGGGAGGAAGGGGCGCAGCGCGACAGGGGGCGCCCCTACCCCTCGCGCCCTGCTCGCTCCCCCTGCCCACCCCGTGCCCGAGTCGCGGAGAACCGCCGCCCGACACCGCCGGGCAGGTGCGGCCGGCGCACCGTCCCCCAGTAAGTTGGATAACGCCCGGTCCTTCTGGGGTTCTGACTTCCAGATTTGACAAGACCTCCCCTCCCCAAAGAGTTTCTCCAGGGTTCACTTAAATCAAGCACGCGCCGCCATCTGATCTTCGAGAACCGTCTGTGAACAAAAGGTCGTACTTCTCCGCTGCCTGAATTTAAGAGGTACCATGCCGCCTTGCGTTTCCCAAATACTCAGACCTCCTGCGCCCCGGCTCCCGGAGCCTGGATCTAGCCCGAGGCAGGAGTTGGCCACCTTCCAGGTGGAGCTCGGAGTTGGGCAGCAGGAAACGAGATACAGAACGCTCCACACAGGGTCCGCAAGCCGATCTCCCCTTCTGCATTGACCGAGGGCTGGTTCCCAGTCAGACCGGCAGGGTCCATCCCACCTCGGCGCTCACCCTCCTTCACCCACTTCGCCACCTCTTGGGTTCTCGGGGTCCGACTCAGTGCAGGGCCCGAGCCCGCCAAACCGATAGGCCTAACCTGTCCCCACTCGCACAGTGGCACTTCCCGGGACTCGAAGGTGGGCAACGCAGATGGGTCGCTTCGCCCCCGAGGCCGGACAGTTAGTGAGTGTAAATACATGCAGAATCGCCCTGAAGGGTGCGGAATTACAGGTGACGGAGGAAACGCGCCCTCACCGCCTCTGAGGACTTCAAGAGCTCGCACTTGCACACCGACACGCACAAAGGAGTGCGCAGGGATTCCCGCAGCCACGAGGCCCTCCGGAGACTTCCTCTGCCCGTTACGGCCCGGCCGCCAAGCCCCGCTACACCTAGCCTCCAGCTCGCGCCCCGGCGCCCGCGGTTACCTTTGAGCAGGCAGATGTCGGTGCGCTCGGCGTTGCGGCGCAGCGCCTGAACTACCAGAGACACGGTGCTGTCCTCGCGGAGGCTCTCGGCGCGCGGGCTGCGCTCGTCGTAGACGATGACCGCCGAGTAGAGGCCGGAGCGCAGGCGGGCGCGCACCTCCTCCTCGGCGGGCAGGATCTGCTCCAGGCTCACGGAGCCCTTGGCCCGCCGCCGCACGATGGTGTTGCAGCGCACGTTGACCGAGCCTCGGATGTAGCCCGCGCTGTGCGCCAGGAACGGTCTGCAGTCCAGGAGCAGGCACTTGCCGCCGCTCGGCAGCCCCAGGGCGCCGTGGCTGCTGCTGCCGCCGGCGCCGCCGCTGTTCTCATCCCGATTCATCAGCCTTTTGAGCACGCTGCAGTCCATCTCCCGCAGCTCCTCCACCGTCACCATGGTCGCCGGGAACCGCGGCTGCTGGGCACGCAAGGAGGCAGAGGACACCCGGGCCAGCTGGGGCGGAGGAAGGGGCGGGCGAGGGCTACGGGAGGGCGCGTGCAGAAGTGCCGCAAACTTGGCCCCCAGGGGCTCCCCCGGGCGAACCTCTTCTCTCCGGTCCCCTTCCTCGCGCAGTCTGGCGGTTACATAGCAGTCCGAGCGGCCACGGGCGCCCGGCAGCACGGCGCGCGCTGGGGGAGGCGGCGCTGGAGGGGAGTGTGTTTACGGAGAGGACCACGGGCTCCCTTCTGTTGTTGCCTCTATTGTATTTTGCCGGCCGTGCTGCTCCAGCCGCCGCCGCCGCCGCCGCCGGCGCTGCGGTTCCGGCCGCCGGTCCCCACCAACAGTCGGAGCTCGGCGCTCTGCCCCAGCCAGAGTTTCCTCCTCGGCTTAGAGATTTATTAATGCTCCTCGGCTCTCCCCCGGGAGGGGGCAGATTCATTACTACCTCTCGAGGCCCCGCCTCTTTCCATTCTGGGCCTGGCGCCCTCCCCCGCCCCGCGCGCTCTCTCCCCGCCCCATCCCAGCTCCCCGGGCCCCGCGGGCCCCTCCTCCTGCCCCCTCCCCGGCGCGTGAATGGAGTGCCGGCCGCTTGCGCCCGGTCACGGGGACTCGACGTCACAAAGAGCGGAGTAAACAGGGCGCGCGGTGCTCGCCGGCGGGCCCATTCATAAAACCGAGGGCGAGAGGAAGAGGGAGGCGGCCTCCGCCCGGCAGGCGGGCTGCAGCGCCCGGACTTTGTGAATGGAGCGGGCGGCGCCTCCCCGGCCTCCGCGGCTCGTGGCCCGCCCGGCGCGCGTGGCCGAGCCGCCCCTCCACCCGGCTGCGGCGTTCGGCGTTCAGAAAGTCGCCAGCCGAGAAGCCGGCCTCGAGGAGCCAGCGCTCGGTTGGGAGGTTTCACCCCTTTTTACCTCCGTGCTCCCCCGCTGACAGCCTCGCAGGTCTGCGCCGGGGCCCGAAGCGGAGAGGAGAACCGGGCACCGCTCAGCAGCCGGCGGGCCGGGGACCTCCTCGCCCCGGGCTCCCCGAGCGCGTTCGGCGCGGCCAGTCTTTTTTCAAATGCAATTCCTCAGACTTCAGCTTATGCATTAGCGTGATCGATTTTCACCTTAAGCCATTAAATCAGCTTTATAGCTTCCCGAGGAACGTGGGCAAGCCCCAACTTAGAAGATGAAAGAGCAAGCCCTCCCGCCCCGAAGCCCGGGAAGAGGAGCGAGGTGTTGGGTTTGTTGCTTTACGACCCAGGGGGAGGCATTAATGGCCGGAATGTTGTGCCCCTGGAGGAAGGCGGGGTGCCACTCCCTTCCACGCTTCCTAAAGATGTTGATTTAACCCTGGTGGTGGGGGGGAACCCGACGTTTTCGGCTTTTGGAAAAGTCGTCACCCCCCTCCCGCACACGTGTGAGTCGTCTTCTCAGGAAATGACTCCACATTCGGTGCGAAGCTCAGACCCAGAGAAATGTACGCGTCAAGTATTTAATAAGCTCTGGGGCCGATTCAGGCTTCTTTGCTCCCTTTTTCCAGGTCATGTAGCCTTTCTCCCGCCCCCAGTTTTACTTATGCATTTAATTTCCCAGAGGCTGCTTTTGGCAGGGGGTTTGCGCGCGTCGTGGTGGGGACACGACAGAAGGCAAAATTATTCGCCCGACATCTTGCCAAGTCTTGTTAGTGAGAGTGAACCGCCGAGAGGGGCCTCGGGGGCGGCGGGGTCGGGTCCTCCCCTCGGGGTCGCGGGTGGAAGCCGCCGAACCCGCGGGGTCCCTCCCGCCCCCGACTCGGCCTTCCGCTCTGCCTTTGTTCCAGGCGGAGCGGCTCTCCGGAGCTGTCACCTCCGGCCCCCAGGGCCACCCCTCCACTCCCTAACCCGGCCTTAGGGGACCTCCACTTCCGAGGCCTGCCCTCCCACTGCGCCCCGAATCCCGCGACACCCCGGGCCGGGTCGGGTGAGCTGTGAGGGGCCCCGCTCAACCGAGGGGATCTTCCTCTTACCTCTGTCTCCAAAATGGCTCAACACGGCACTGCACTGATCCTGTCTCTGGTTAGAATTTAATATTTTGTTCATCACGGGTTTTGTGTTTGCATTAATTTTAAGTGTTTAAAAAAAGCATTGCATTACGATATTATTTATTTTGACTGCTGACTTTTCGGTGCTCCCTTAAATTTTGCGCCCACGACGCCTTCCTCACCCTAGTCCCAGCTCTGGAAGGAGCCACAACTGCGCAACGAGCGAGGCCTCCGGGTGGCGGAGCTCGGGCTCCGGGCCCTCTGGGTAGGAGGTCAGGGGCCAGAGGGGTCGGTACTCCCTCCCGAGGGCAAAAGGCCCCTCTGTCCGGTTTCTCATTCTGCTCAGGTGGCTGTGAGGCTTTCCAAAAAAAGACGCGCTCTCCTTGGTACCCCAAGCGTGCGCCCTTTCCAAGGAACCCCCCACACCCCGACAGTCCCGGGCGCGCTCGCAGCCTAGGAATCCGGCCCCTGGCAGGCCCGCGGGCCGGGACGTCCCCGGCCCGGGAAACGCCGACACATTTCCAAGGGCTTGGACAGGACATTTTGTGGAAGAGCCTCTCAGTGGGAGGCAGGTCCGGTCCAATTTCGCACGTGTCGCAGGAGCTGGGGAGACGTCCCCGGGCCGCACTGGCCGCGCTCTGCTGGCCTTTGTCTCCGCGCGCCTGGGGCGCCTCCCCGCCGGCCCGACCCCCGCCCAGCGCTCACGTGGCCGGTAAATAACAGTCAAATCCGGGGGGAGGAAAATGCCCGCCGAACAAAGACTTGCTTTCTGCACCTGACAGTAATCCGCGGCGGCGAAGCCCGTAAATCCCGCAAGCGAGTCACACGGAAGAGGGTGTGGGCGGGCGCGTGTGAGTGTGTGTGTGTCCACGTGTGCGTGTCCGCGCCTGCGCGCCCGCACCCCGGACGGGAGCCGCCGCTTTGGAATTAATGTTTTTAAGGCAAGAGCTGCTGTAATTACGAACGCGAAAGCCTGATTTTTGAAAGAGACTAACAACAACAAAAAAATCCTCTCCTCAACACAGGGATTAGCCTTCAGATGTGTAAATTTCAGCAAACGAGATTTAAATTTTGTGTTTATCCGGATTCTATGTAAACACCCTAGATAATTTTGTTTATCGGTATTGTAAGTGTGTGGGCCATTTGGTACACAGTGAAATGACTACGATGTGAGAGCTCCCCAATACCAACTATAGAGATGATAAAACTTGTCTCCAATTAGTATGCAGGCTGCAGGTGGGAAATGTACTCAGTTTACACAGGAACCTTAGGAAACAGCTTGTCAATAAGTAGATCCTGGAGAAAACAAAGGCGTTTGGAAGGAAGACATTGTTTGAATGTCATTTCAAAGTTAATTTAATTAACAAGGCATGTCTGCAGGAGTCGGGAGAGGATTGCCCAAGGAGAGAGATTTTATTTATATTCAGCAGTAAACCTCCGGGTGGAACTACTTTAAAAATTCACTGTGACATGTAAATCCAGCTTCCCTTTCATCAGACAGTCCTTAGACCGACCTTATTAGTCACTGTCAGGCCTGGCGAACCCATGGTCTTGTTTAAGAACATTTCTTTCCAATTAGGAAGTTGTGTGATCTGGGAATTTAAAGCCCAGAGTAGGATCCCCCGAGAGGATTATGGCTTCTATTCTGGTTTTGATGCCAACCTCTGACTCACTGCCCTGTCCCAAAGTGCCGGAATAAAACTTGTCTGAAGAATCATTAATGAATTAATCACGGTGGTGCTGGAAAGAAAGGGCCTGTGGACTCCTCTTCCTGAACAGAGAGGATGCCTTGCTCATTACTCTCAACTGGAACAGGAATGATCCGTTTTGCATGGAGCTATTGGCGAGGCTTCTTGGATCAGCTGACTGGGGAGCTTCCCCTCTGGCAGTGGCAATGCTCAGAAGCACTGGGAGGCTGTCTCAGGCTCCTGGAAGCAGAGAAGTCTGTGTCTACTGTGTTCTCGGGCAACATGTATAATGGAATCAAGGAATGTGTGTCCTTTCCTGCCTACCTCTGCCCATCAAGTCAGGACTCAGAAGCACTGGAAAAGCCTAAACCTCACCAGACAATGTCAAAAGCATAGCCTGTGGGTTTTTCTAGTCCTGACTTGGTCACAGATCTGTTCAGTAGCCTCTGTTTATTTTCTCTGCATGATACTATAGCGCTTGCTAATGATTTAAAATGCTAGGTTTCTAACCCAAGGTCTCTGCAGAAAGGTTTTAATACATTGCTTCATTCACTACTTTATTTGAGAACTATTCAATCTAGGCTGTGCCACCGTCCAGCTAAGTGATCTGGGGCAAGACGATCTCCCTGGATCTTGGTTTATTCATCTGCAAAAGGAAGAGTTAGGGCAGCGTGGTTCCTCAGGTCTAGTCTGTTTCCAGCTCTGTGTGGTTCTGAGCAGGAGACAGCTCTCTGCTCTCCTGCCCAAGCCCAAGCTCCAGCAGCCATCTCCTCTCCGTCCTCAAAGCCAGGCCTCATCATGCAAAGAACAGTCTCTCCAGCTCCTTTCTGTCCCCTTTTTGCTCCTGGTGAGCAGAGTTCGTCGTTTTCATATGTTTAGTCAAGTGCAAATGTCCCAAGCATCTTCATAAAACTTCTTCATCTCTTCAGAATCAAATTTGGGAAACAAACACTTCTCCTAATAGGAAATAAAAATGGGCTCAGCCTTTTTGGGGGGGTCACTCTAGCTGTGAATATTTTCTTATGCATTCATTCAACATGTTCAATTCAGCAGGGGAAACAAATTTGTCCAAAACACTGACTGTGCCTTCCAAGAGTTTATAATCTGGTCCGTGCAGTCCCTGGGTGATTGTCACTGTACCTTCCTGCAGGGCAGGACCTCAGTGTCCTTAAGAAAGAACAAACAAAATGCTGGGAGGGTTCAGACAAGAAGCAGATTGAATGGTGGTGTGGGATGAGGGAAATGGAAGAAAAAGGCCCCGTCATGAATAAAATGCATTTCCTCTACTTAGATTTTATCCTTCATTTCTTCTAGGACGTCCTCCTTTTCTTCTTTAACTTTTCACTTTGATTCTGCCCTGTGCCTTATATCTTTCCCTTTCGTTTGTTAACTTTTCTCTTCCCCAGTGGTTTGCCTGCTAAAAATAATTGAGCCATTCTTCTGAAGCTACAAGGGAGCCAAGATGATGCAAAGGCTCTGTAGAAAATCTATGTCATGGACAGTGAGCGACCTAGATGTGAGAGGACCCAGCTGTGGGCCTGACTCTAACTTTCACTGTCATCTTAAGCAAGTCAGTTGTGCTATAGCTTAATTTTACCATCTTTAAAACTAGGTTAAATCATGTATTATTATTTACTTTTTTTCAGGACAACAAAATGTCTAAATCACCCTCCCAAAGAGTCACCAGTCAACTTATTTTCCAAACTAAATGTTGGCATACGTAATCAGAAAAGATTTTTGGGTTTGTGAAATTATTTTTTTGAAAATTCTTAC